TGAACCTTGCGGTACGCCAATTTTTATCTCAGAGCCCCGTGAGTTAGAACCACCTACATGAACTCTCAGCTGCCTATCCTCTAAATATGACTTTAGTAGACGGAGTGCAGTATGTCTAATCCTGTATGTCTGATCATTTGAGAAATGTCCATTGCTGAAAAAAAGCCTTTTAACTGTAAACAACAACTCGCTAGCTGGATGCAAATAACAATTACTTATATCATAATATTAAAACGATCAATTTAATATATAATATAAAACAGCTGGAAGAAGAAGCGACCGCTTCTTTTTTACTAGAGTAACGATGGAGTTACTTGTTCTTCGATCTCCATTCGAATCTACACTTTGGAACGAGCAACTAGCTTTAACCAGACTACAATTCTATTCTCGCGTTTCAAAAGTAAGTAAGTAACATGTTTAAGATTTCGTTGGAAAAACTAATTTAGAATTTGGATTTGAAAAATAAGCCGATGCCCCACAATAACAACATTTAATTAAGTACATTAAAAACAAAACTCCCCAGTTCCGCATCAATAGGAATCCGGAAAACCCTCTGGTAACCGCATGAAGAAATAATACTATAATGAGTGAATTCACGTGCTTTATTACAAATGTTGTAGTCAATACATTGAGCTAATTAGTGGTAAGTATAGGCTGGTTGTAATTAGTCTGGTGGAGAGGCGACGTGTAGCTGGAAGCTGAGCAGGAAAATAATTAAATCTGTACAAACAACGAGATAACATCAACACGACATTACATGCTGCAGACACTGGACTGGCTTATCGTAATATTAATGTCTATTTGTTATTTCATAGTTATTTAAACAAAGGAAGCTCAATACCAAAAGGTAGCTTTTTTAGTTTATCTGGCGTTCATAGGTGGTGCCAATTATTTACCTTCTATTATTTATAAATAAATAAATAAACTTCGCTGACAAAGCAAAAACATTCAGGACATCTGCCCTTTCGATAATGAATGGAGAGCCATACTTCGGCACGAATGGGTCGGCTCGACCGAAGTGATACCACGGCCTCTCAGAAAACCTGCGTGGAACAACAACAGCGTTGTGTTTCGATGTGTGATTGTGGTTACCGGAAGCCCAATCCTTCCCCTCCCCAAATCATCCCAAAATCTCCCAATCCCCAATCCCTAATCGGTCGGTATCTCACTCGTAACTCCTCCGTTGTTGCGGGTGTCCATGGGCGGCGCTGATTGCTTTGCAATCCACATGCTCGTTTGCCGAGCTATCACATACAAAAGAAGCTGATCGTAGTTAATTTAATTTTTCCTAGAGGTATTTAGGTAGACATTGTATATACGGTAGACGGCAGCCGAGGGATGGAGGCGGCAACGTATATCATGACTTTGTATAATATTCAGTGCGATACGAGTGCAACGATGTTCAAATTCAGTAGAGGATCAACTTCAGCCTTCAGCAAATGTAACTTTCGCCTGGTTTTTTGTTACAACGTATTTTTATATACTTAGGTACATTTTCCACTTGTACTTATAGACTAGATACTTAATAAAAAAATGTATTTAAATTTTTTGCATAGTAAGCATATGGCATTATAAATTTATTGAAAATAACGACGAAGTCACGTGATTTTGTTGAGAAAAGTTCGTACTAGGCACGCGCCTCTTATTCATGTCCACTGTCCACTGTGTACACTTACGCTGGACATGAATAAGAGTCCCGTTATGGCTTGAAACTAGTAGAACTAATCTCAGTTAATTCAAGAAAGTTGTTATATTTATTTGTATTTTGTTTTTGTCTACAATTAAAATAAAATATATGTACCCTATGAATGTTTAATATGCACCACTTAATAATAAATCGTAGGTACACCAGAACCTCATCAAAACTAATACAGCTGTTTAGGATATAAGCGATGACTTACGAACATGATAGCGTATGTATTCTTTTGTATCTGGCCATATTAACAATGACTGTAACAGACTTAGATCTGTAAATTTAAAATAGTTTGTATGAAGTACCTAAGCATACAGAATTAATTTAGGTATTAACTTGTATTGTATAAATACAGTTTGGGAATATTGCTTCATAGTAATGCAAAGAACAGTACACAATATATTTATACATAAATTATATATATTAGCTTATTGTTATCGTGTAATTGATTAATTATATTAATTAAACTTATTTCTTGCGACTTCATTGTCCTTATTGATTTACGATTTTTCAGTTGACGAAATTCTCAGTAGAAAAATGACCAATTGAATTTTACTTATAATATCTGCCTAAAATTTACTATTATCACCAACAAGCCAAGTAATTTAGCTTAACAATAAGCATTTAATATCGCGGTGGCCTAGAGCTTAAGGCGCCCGCTTCTCATGCATGGGGTTCGAAACCTGGCAAGTACACTGAAACCTGGTTAAGTGAGACATCAAGGGACCTGCAATGTCGTTTCACTTATAGAGGTATTCCACTTACCCAGTGTCTCAGATATACAGGTATAAATAAATATCTGTTTCATTTACAGAGGGTTCCATTAATAGAGGTGAGAATACAGGTTATTTCAGTTATACAGGTATACAGTCAGTTATTCAGTGATACATAACACGTTATTTTATTTAATGATCGCATTAAATAAAATAACGTGTTATAATACATTACATTAAATATAATAACGTGTACGTAAATAAGTTTTATTAAAAAAAAATAGTACTTAAAGGTAATCATAATCACAAACTTTTTCGTGTCTTCCCACTTTCATAAACGGATATTAACTTCAGTTTTTCACGTAATAACGATTGTAGCTTTCGTTTTGGCATTTTTCAAATAAACATCTGTATCATAGTAAAGCGAAACTAAAACTGAAGGTAATTGAAGCTCTAAATTTGTACTTGGAATTATGTGTGGAATTTGTGGGTAGAATAAGAATGAGTAAACAAACAATGTTATTTCAGTTACAGAGGTTGATGCATATAAAATTTACTCGCTGTCTCAGTTATAGAGGCAACTATGATGATAAATCGAAAGAACAAATCCCAGATATACAGGTTTGCCTCGTCCCACTAACAGAGGTAATTCAGTGCCAAAGTGTTGGGACCTCAGCATGAGTTCCAGTTATGGAGGTTTCTCACTTATCCAGGTCCCACTTAACCAAGTTTCACTGTACCTATATAACTAATTCCGAGTTATACATATGTACTTTCTATGATTATTAAGATACCACTGACATACGGTGAAGGAAACATCGTGAGGAAAACTCGACTTATAATTTCTAATTATAAGTTTGAACTCGCCAATACGTCTTGAGTAAGCGTGGTGATTGATGTTCAAACCTTCGCCGTGTAAGAAGAAGCCTTTTTCCCAGCTTACAGGGTGATAATGGGAATAAGATGTTTTCGTAGGATTTGAGAATGTTAGCCACCATTCTATATACTATATTAAGTACTTGTCGACAGCAGTCTAACATTACAGATACATAGACATTTTTAAGTGTGGGAGAGCCATGCTTCAGCACGAATGGGTCAGCTTGACCGGAGTGATACCACGGCCTCATAGAAAACTGGCGTGAAATACCCAAAGAGTTGTGTTTCGCCGTGTGAGTGAGGTTACCGGAGACCCAATCCTTCCCCTACCCCAATCCGTTCCCTTTCGCAAAATCTACAAATCCGTAATCCCCAAAAGTTCGACAACGCACTCGTAACTCCTCCGTCGTTGCGGGTGTCCATTGGCGAAGCTTATTGCTTACCATCAGGTAATCAGTGTGTTAGTTTGTCGACTTATCACATAAAAAAATCATAGGGCTTGTCATGGCCGGAATTATTACAAAAAATATCTATAAATTACGTCGGAGATAGAACATACTGGCCACATTTGTATTTAATACATATGTCGTCTATCTCAGTGTGCTCCTTCAGAAAACAATTAAATCTTGATATTAACATAGTACCAGAAACCTAATCTAAACTTATGTCTGAAAGTACTAATGCCAATATATTTTACATTGTAGCCCCCAGCAGTTACGTCAGTCGCCGTAACGTAGCGCTATATTCATGGCTGCAACACTACAAGTGCAGCAGAGAATAGGTCACTTTATCACCTGGACCATTGTGTTCTTACTATGTGTTACTACAGTTACCTAATATTAGATAAAAGGGCTGAACTTTCTCCATATATTCTACCTTATATGTCCAACTTCTGGACGTACTTTAGCTGGAGGTGATGGGTAACAAATAAGGATAGCTATAATGATGACTTTAAGCGTAGGAACACCGACAAAGCGAAGTAAAACATAGTTATTTTTGGCTGGGTAAGTGAGGTTACCAGAGACTCATTTCTCCCACCATACCCGTCCTATCTATATTTGGCCTCCTAAAACGCCGACCACACCTCCTTTGGTGTTGCGGGTGTCAATAGGGGGCGTTGGTCGCTTATATATCCCATAAAAATAAATGTCATATAAACCTTATGAAACCGACAATGATCCCACAATCAAGAAGTTTAATAGGAAACAAAGACGGAAAATGAATTCTTAGTAAATGTACAGTGAAAGGGCCACAGGCGCAATGTTTTGTTTCACAAGTAAGACAAAATTGGCAACAAGCAATAATTAAAACAAATAATAATACAAGGAAATTCATTTAAAATTATCACTACTGGATACGATATCTTGGTCGCTATTAAAAAAGAAGTTTGAGAAACTATTAATTTTTGAAGAGTTTTTGTGTTCCAAATATTGATAATGTAATGTAATGTAAGTAAAACTTGATACATACAAATGAATCACTTCACACATCCCATTCAAACCTTTTATTTTGAAGCCCGAACCTGAATATGCGTGGACATCCTCAGAGAGCACCTGTGAATGACCTTTCACTTCCCTTGAAGCGATGGCTCCCATCATCGGAGCTATCATTAGGCCAATTATTAGAGCATATTTAGAGGCATTACATATCCTCGCCACCGCCAGTGGGGGGGGTGGGGGCTGCGTATAAAGTGAAGATGCGCGCACGCAGCCCGCAACACAGCATCGTCGCGTGCGCACGGCACGTGGACGACTTGCTCCGAACTTTGCCGATTATTTTACGAAGTTTGTGAATTTTAACAGTTGACGTTATCTGTGCTTTTCGGATTCTGTGAACTTTTGGTAAGTTTGTGGTGCGTAATATCGATTGCTTATTGAGTGTGGCTTCAGTTATGTACCTACTGTAATAACAATACAATAAATATTAAAGTCTAGATAAAAGCTTAAATACAATTAAAAAACTGAACTTTAATTAATATTTTTAGCAAAATTTTTGTTTGTTTAGCAATACTTACTTCTTTATAAAAATATTATTATATACTTTATATAAATAAAGCTTTCATTACTCGTTACCATCTCTAATATGAACAGTGAAAAGTAACGCAATAAAACAGCTTTAATCGTAAAAGGCAAACATTTAATGAAAACTAACTTTAAAAAATTACTTCAAAAATATTTAATTACTTTCAAGTCGTGACGACTCCTTGTAATATTTCAAACAGTAGCTTACTTAGTAATTTGTGTACAATTATAACTATTATAAGTTGCGACATCTTGTGCCTGCGCCTGCGCACAGGCAATACCGCAAACTGCATTAAAACAAATTATCTGAAACCATTAAATATTATGCTAATAAAATGTAACCTACAACTAAAACACTAAGCTTTTTTTCATTTGTCTTTACATCTCTAAAATACAAATGTAGTTATAATACTTAAAAAATACTAATTTTGTTCATGTAATACCTACCACACATCTCTGCACTACCAAAAGGTTGACTGGCAGAAAATGCTTCTAGCATTAAGTCCTCCGATATGCAATTGTATATAAAGAATAAATAAATAAATAATATAATATATCAATGCTTGTTGAAATTAATATTTGATCGTTGCTGAATAAATTTCAACTTTGTAGTGTAAATGATTTAAAACCATTGGGAAAAATCAATTAATAGGTACTTTAAATTTAAATAAAATCAACCCGGCTTATAAAAACATAACACACGAGTACATTCCCAAGCAAGTTAATAAGTTTATACTAAAGTCAATTTAGAAAATATTTTCTATCTCGGCGATATTATCAAACATGTACTAGACTAGAAAAACTGTCTAGAACAAGCTTACAATTAAATAAAAACTTTTATCTTTAATTTATTTTGTGCAATTTAAAATGGAGATGAATTTAAGAGGCATTGACATAATAATCAGACTAGAAACCACTCTAGAAAAAACTCATAAACATGTATCAATATCTCGCAATTAAATGACATACACGAACAAACCCAGAACACATAAAGAGACCGAGATCTAAACCACTGCATCTTAACATCATCTACGATGCAATTACTTAATCTTTAAATTACAAACGCAAGAAATCATATCTCAACAACAATTTTAGTAAAAATTTAAAATGTAACAAAAATAATGCCCAAGTTAAAACAAAATAGTAATAGAATTTATTTGAAAAGCGTTAATATAACGTGTAACAGCGCTAAGTGCGTATTAAGTTAGGGTTAAGTAAATGCTACCTTTGTGTTTAATGCTCGCTACTCGAGCGCTCTAATTAACACGACTTACTTGGTTTCATATGTATGTAAAAGCTCCATAATATATTTTACGTGTCTTCACTATAGTATAAGTAGTTTTGTAGGTGTGTTTTGTAATGTTATATTATGTTCTTTTACAGACTGTCACCGTCGCCGCCAAGATGGTCCACATTAAGTTAGCGGTGAGTATAATAATTTAAAATTACCAAAATCCACAAATTTATTGAAAATAACGCTTTACTCGCATTAATGAACTAAGAAAGGCTCTACTAGTTTCAAGTCGCAACGGGACTCTTATTTATGAGTTGCTTGAAACTAAGAGAGCTATTTTCAATGTCATTTGTCATTGTGCAATCTCTGCAAGAGTGAATAGGTTACTTCTAGGTAAGCGCGCTCCATCGTCGACCGCATCGTCGCTTTCCATCAGGAGAGATAGCGGTCAAGCGCGAACCTATAATCAAAAAAAAATGTGCCATATCATTTCTCAATCAATTTTGTATGTCTCACGATACTGTACAAGAAAACCTTATATTTTATGAAGGAAAATAATTGCTTTTGTGTACAAACAACTACAGACTTAAAGATCGATTTGATTAATTCTTAAAATGTCGAATTGTCACTTCTTTTCATGGGACCATAGAATTCCGGACCTTTAGAAGGCATATGAGGAGTCGAAACCAACTCGCAAAGGCACTTTGAACAAATATAATATTATTTAAATATAAGCTACTAACAAATATTTTATTAATACTTGATTATCAATTCATTGCCTTCTTTGAGTTTAATCTGAAACTCAGCAAGTTAAAGAAAGAAGTTGACAACTCACAAAGTGTAAACTCCTTTAGCACCAGCTGATTCAATTCTAGCGTGGAGTGGTCGGAAAACAAGAAGTTTTAACTGAAGTTCAAAGTTTTCTACCGCAGAGCAATGACAATATTTTACAATGAGGACTAACTGATAAATGGGTTAAATACAGAACTCCAGTTACACTCACACTCAGTCCCAGTTACGTAGCTATTTCAAGTAATTTCACTTACTTTCTGAAAATAACAGTCACATCAATGTGAAAAGTCGGTCAGTCGCCATTAACAAATATTCATAAATACTATTATATCACAATTTATAGATAGCTTAATAAAATAATAAATAAACATAAAAATAAGTGTGTCAATGTACCACATATGTATCATAAATATTTGCTACACGAAATATTTTAATATTTCATCATAACAATGAGACACTTCTTATACATATTTTATATTATTTATTTATTAAAAACAGATGGCATCTTTAACTATGCATCTATCAAAGCCAGTCTTTGTAGAAGCGTTGTTTAAAAAACTTGAACCTTTTAAAACTGTGATCTCCAACCGCCTATGGTTCGTGGAGATTATTCTAAAACCCTTATGTAGAGAAGTTGTATAGTCCATAGTAGACTGTTCCTTACTGTTAATGCTGTAATTCTTTGAAATTTCTGAAGAAGTGTAAGGAAAATTGGAAATAATAGCTACATTTATAGGTCACTAACACGGGAACATTTGATGTGACTCAGTCAATGAGTTATTCACCTGTTACGACACAGTGATACGCGATATCATCATACAGCGCATGCGGGCTGACACGATACTTTCTGTTTTCATTCAGTGCTGACACGGAAATAAAAAACCTACAAGAATAAAAGAGAATAGATTTTTTACCCGAAAAATAATACAAAAGATAGAGAATAAGATAATTACTGCATAAAAACACTTTATGCCATTTATTTTGTACAAATATTGAAGCAGATTTTTATATTTCTCTTTGTCAAAGTACATGCTACAAATCGAGTGATTCATAGACATAAGGGCGTCATCTGACTGCGGCGCTAGACCGCGTGTTGCGTCACAATCTGCGGCGTGCAGCGCCACCGCGCTGTAGGGTTGTCTCTACTTCTTAAGATGGAATACTACACATAGTTTTATACAGCCAATCATAGTACATACAGTTTTTGCAGTAGGCAATACAGTAATGATGAATTCTTAAAAATAGAAGTGTGTTGTCTCGCCCTGGATGGGGCCAGAGTGCCAGATTCATACTGACATAAATCCACCCCGATCCTTTACCTGCTCCAGGCCAAGGCATACAATATTACACTTGGTCCGTATCTCCGGCTACTTACAGAGCTTATGTACAAATTTTTATAATAAATAAAAGTGACTTTTATATCTTTAATACAACACATCCCTGTTGTAACCACAGAATATTGCATCACGTCACTTACAGGCACGAGCTACTGTAACACCTACAAGTCATTCATCTTTGTTCTCCGTACAACCCTGCGCCACTACAATACGCGCATTCCTTTGTTATTTATATCTTTTTTTTCCTTTATAGAAAGGAATAAGTAAATTTTGCTCCTTTTAGAATAAATAATTATTCAAACAGATAACTTTATGTGCGATTTAACTTGACGCTTGTCGTCAGAAGCGAGCTTTTTTATTTAATTGTGCCATTACAAATGTAGATTATATTAATTAATGTTCGCCCCTTTTCAAAATTAAAACAAGGCTTAATGAATTTGGCCTTAAAAAATAAAAGAGTCATATAATACGATTATGTAGATCGTTGCACACAAATATGTAAATTTTCTATTTCTCTGTGAGATAATAAATGTGCAAGCAATTAACACAGAAACAAATGCAATTGATGTCATAAAAATGCAAATTTTAATGTAATGAGTGTATTAGATGTGTGCATGTGAGTTTGTGTGTTTCCGTAGATGTGTGACGTAAGCGGGCTGCGCACGCGCATAGAAAGTGTCAATAAGGTCAAGGTTGTACCTCTTCCGCGGTTTACGTCACGCGGAGAAACTTAGGGCTGTCAAGTGTTTTATATTAACTTTATTTTACTTCAACAAAGCGTTTTTGATTTTCAATAACTTTTTTATATTTGTCTGACCTACATGTTTAATGTAATGATTATGTACATAAATTATACTGAAAAACATAGGTAAAATTTAAGATCAATGTTGTTTAAAATCCAATCCAATCTCCACTATCTTTCTTCGCTGTACTTCAAAATTATTTAAAAATCCAAGTCAATTTCCGATGCAAACAAGTCCTTATTGAAATAGGCAGCCCTGTCTCATAGCGCGCACACGCATGGTAATAGCCAGCTTTTGTTCGCTTTTCTCACTTATAGTGGCGTCAAGTACCACACAGCCACATTATTGTGTGTTACATAACATGTGTTGTTCTAATGCAATAATACAATGTTCTTGCAAAATTTGTTATGTCAAATGTCGTGATAGCCCCGAGGTTAAGGGGCCAGCTTCTCAACAAGAGCTCGTGGATTCGTAATTAGCGTACTACGATAGTGACCTTTTAAGTACAATGGTGTTTTTTGCGTAATCGAAGGCGTCAATCTTTGAAATGTATGACATAACATGTACTTACATATTATCGGTATTGTTAAGGGCCGGGTAGGTAAATATGTACATCTCTTGACAGCCTCTTTGCGTCGATTGCAACGGCGAGTGTAAAGGCTCTTACGGATCTCGAGATCAATTCCTAGGTCGAACAAAATATTATTGTAATTTCTGGCCTATTATGTTTCGGCACGATAGGGCCGATAGAAGCAAAACGGCTTGCCCCAACTATATCGCAAAAATCTCAGAACCTAACCTCCTAAAAGGCCGGTGATTCGCTCATAATAGTTCTGGTATTGCGTGAATCTATGGGTGGCGTTGATTGCTGACTTATCGATAAAGTCCGTAGTCTCCTTTGGCACCTTATCAAAATACAAAAAAAAACACACTATCTAACTACACTTCTGTGATGACATTTCTACGAATATATACCTAAATTTAACTTAATTTCCTCAATGGAAGCTTATAAAATCGCTCCTTCCCTTACTTAGTTATATTAGAGAACAAAATGTGACAATAACTGAACCATTAAACTCTATAGTTATAATAAGAGGGACAGTTAACCTCCCGTAATATACACGCCACTGTAACAACACACTGCCGACGCTTACTATTGAGATAACACTAATTACCCATTTAGAGGGCCGCGCTATACACCGAACTGAAATATAAGCCAAGTTTTTTATACAGAATCTTTAATATCGATCTCTACTCTACCGCGAATTAATAAAGTTATGAATATTATATATTTAAATGTAGAACTAGAGAAAACACCGATGGTAAGCGGTTACATATTTATATAAAAAATACAGCCGAATTGAAAATCTCTTCTCTTTTTAAGAGCAGATTTTTCAATGGTTAGATAAAAGTTACCTACGGAATAATTATGATGCTGTCGCGAATGAATGTTAGTATAAGACAGTGACAGCAACACTTTTATCCCTCAGATAATTCACCTGCCTATTGAAAAATCAGTCCTAAGTCGGATAAAAACGAAACACATGTATATTGTACCTACTATGCCTAGATATAACATAGTTATAGTTATCGTCAGCTTAAAAATCAATACAAAAGCTTAATATTATTTATTACGTTTTAAACTTAGTGATCAAACCCATTTCATTGCTTTTGCTCAATAAATAATCGGAATAAAAAAACTGCTTTTATTGTACGGTGTATAAGGCAGCCACGATCGCGATTCGCCGACTCAGGTGCATGCATAATTACCGTGTGAATACTGTGATTTATAGCGTGCGCCCGCGCATGCCTGTCAGTAAAAAGCGACGCCGGCGCAGCCTTTAATAAATTTTTTAAAGACTATTATGCCTTTTACATAATATATACCTACCTAATGATTTATTTTAGTGTAATGAGCTATTAAGTGTTATTGTCTATTCCAATAATTATTTTATATTACAATACACCCATAGATACTTTTTCCTGCGCCGGCGCAAAGTACAGACTTTGATAAGATCGCTTCTTCATAATAGTTAAATTAAGGCAAAAATGTTTTTTTTTCAATATCTAAGTACGTAGTACTGAAAGATACTGAGAGACGCCTACTACTGATGGTGATGTGCGTCGCCGCGACGCGCACGCTGCTCATAAACACGAGTCCCGTTATGACTTGAAACTAATAGAGCTTACCTCACTTCATTCACGTGAGTAAATCGTTATTTTCAAAAATGTTTTTTTTTATGTGGTAGGACGGCAAACGATCAGACGGATTACCTGATGGTAAGCAATCGGGTCAGCGTCGCCCATGGACACCCACAA